ACGGGCACTGGCTCCCATTCCCCTCCCCATGTGCTGCCTCTGCCGTGTTAGAGCGCTGTACAGATGGGCCACCACAGCACGCCAGCGCACGTTCCATCTCCCCTCCTGTAGAAGGCCCAGTCTTCTGTGCTAAAAACCTGGGGAGGAAAAACCTACAGTCCCTATCTTGTACGTAACCCGGGGACTGCCTGTATATATCAAACTCTTTCCTTCTCTCCCACGATAATAAAGCCCACCTCTGAATTTGGCCTGGAAGTATTTGTGCTGCCGAAGCACCAGAACTCCTCAGATCTCGAGAGCTGTGCTGGTTCCCCAGACTGGAAGCTACATTTTGAGATTCACCAAAGAACATAAGAACGGCCATACTGGGTCAGACCAAAGGTCCATCTAGCCCAGTATCCTGTCTACCGACAGTGGCCAGCACCAGGTGCCCCAGAGAGGGTGGACCGAAGACAATGATCAAGCGATTTGTCTCCTGCCATCCCTCTCCAGCCTCTGACAAACAGAGGCCAAGGACACCATTTTATCCCCTGGCTAATAGCCTTTTATGGACCTAACCTCCATGAAATTATCCAGCTTCTCTTTAAACTCTGTTATAGTCCTAGCCTTCACAGCCTCCTCTGGCGAGGAGTTCCACAGGTTGACTACATGCTGTGTGAAGAAGAACTTCCTTTTATTAGTTTTAAACCTGCTACCCATTAATTTCATTTACACAAAGGCAAAAATGCAACCAGGAATTGTCAAATCTCTCCCCCACTCCCGTCCACCAGCAGTAGAACAGAACAAGGGAGCAACCGTGTACCTTGGATTCTAGCTCCTCCAAAGTCATCTTTAGTCTAAGCTGTCCAAGGGTCAGTTTCCTAGAGTTTAATGATAGAAGCAACCCTTACAGCTGCATCTCAACAGACCTCCTAGAGAACACGAGCTACCCTGAATGATTTGATAATCAGATGTGGAGGTGAACACGAGCTACCCTGAATGATTTGATAATGCAGATGTGAAGGTGAAAGAGATGTTAGCCATGCCCTGTTTTAATTTCTGGGGTGGCATTGAAACGAGAATCAAAGTGATTGTGGAGACTTCATTTTAAAGCTGGTACCTGTGTCCTCAATCGCATGCCTGGTATTTGGAGGTTATCAACATACCAAAGGGAATAACTACACAGCTTTACTGTCCAATTTTTCTACCTTGGAAAGTACTCCCCATACCTCTCCCTAGGCACAAAGTCTGTTGTAATGGACTGGCAGACCTGGCTGTGGGGGAAAAAAAGGATCATGTACAAAGGATGGGGGAATTTGAGTCTATTTGGGCCAGTTTTCTAAAGTGGGTCAACTAAAGATGCTTGCAAGAGGCCTAGATGTGAAAGCAAGGGTATAGATCCACACACTTTCTCTTGCTTTCTTCTTTCCCCCTCTCCCCCTGCTGCCTCCTCTTGATTTTGATTTCTTCAGTTGTTTTGTTTTTTTTCTGTGCTCAGACTACTGCAGTTCACAGGTGTGAATCTGTTCTCTTGTGCTTGTGTAATATGTTGGCACAGTGCCTAGAACAGGGTAGGTTTGTTATTACCAAGATTTTTTTTTAAAGTTTGTTAAGCATTTTCAAAGATCAGACCCTTCAGGTCAGACAGAAGGGATTGGTATGTTTGTTTAATGAGTGAGAGTAAGTGGGCTCCACGTAGGGTATTTGGCTTCAAAGATCAGACCCTTCAGGTCAGACGGAAGGGATTGGTATGTTTGTTCAATGAGTGAGAGTAAGTGGGCTCCACATAGGGTATTTGGAGTGAAGTTGGAATATTGTGTCCCGTTCTGGGCATCACGTTTCAGGAAAGACATGGGGAAATTGGAGAAAGTCCAGAGAAGAGCAACAAGAGTGATTCAAGATGTAGAAAACATGAGCTATGAAGGAAGACTGAAAGAATTGGGCTCATTCAGTTTGGAGACGAGAAGACTGAGGGGGGACATGACAGCAGTTTTCAAGTGTCTAAAAAGGTGTTACGAGGAGGAGGGAGAAAAATTGTTCTCCTTGGCCTCTGAGGAGAGGACAAGAAGCAATGGGCTTAAATTGCAGCAAGGGAGGTTTTGGATGGATATAGGAAACCCTCAAGTTTCTACTGCCTGAATTGCGACTATTTTAAAAAATAGTTGTATGTGCGGAAGGGGCTGAACACCCCCGACTTACGTCCTTGGCCCGGATTTACGAAGCCCACGGCGCCTATCGTCAATGAGGGTTCGAGTTGCGACGCTTCCCCGCAACCAATCGCATTGTAAGTTGGGGGTCACCTGTATAAGGAAAAACTTCCTACCTGTGAGGGTGGTTAAACATTGGAACAAATTGCCTAGGGAGTTTGTGGTATCTCCATCACTGGGGATATTTAAGAGCAGGTTGGACAGACATCAAGGATGGTCTAAAAGTTGTTTGGTCCTGCTGTGAGGGCAGGGGACTGACCTTGATGTCCCTTTCAGTTCTAGGATTCTAAGTTGTGGGGCTTGTGTTATATAGCTGAGATTATGTTGCTTCTGTCACTAAACTTTAGGAAACTCAGAACCTTTGATTGGTTCGTGGCTATACACCAGGCGCTCTTATCAAATTAATACAATAGGAGAGAGAGTGAGCGTTTTGTTTGAGCACTTACTCTCCCTCCATCCCGGGGTTCCTGACTTTCCTATCCCGTTCATCCCAGGCTTGGAGAAGGACCTAGTGCTTGTTGCATAATGGAGATGAATTGGCCTTCAGGCTGCTAATTAATGAGGTTCTTCCTTGTTTGTTTTCAGAATTAAACTGTTCCAAGAATGAGAAGGAGTTGGAGGAATTGCTCCTCGAAGCCAGTCAAGAGACAGGGCAGGAGCCACTGTGACACTTTAGGTAAGGAAGCTCTGCTAGGTTTGAACACTCTTCTGGTCAGGGGCATGACAGAATTCAGACAGAAGGAGATGAATGTGTGTGACAGCTGCCACTGTGGTTTTTGTTCTACCGTTGTATCTACAAAGTTCTGATTGCCAGAAGAGCTATGGGGCTGAGCCAAGCAGGAATATGTGTGCTGTCTTCATTCAGACACAATCAAAAGTGCCTGTAACAAAAACACATCCCTCCACAACTTCTTAGACCTAGGTCAACCTGATTTCACACACCCCAAATACTGTTTTTGTTTGGGCACAGGGAAAATATGTGCTTGCGTCATTCTGTCAGAATGCACAGGGCTCGACGAGAGCTGGGTTCAGGCGATCTCTGCATGCGCAGATCGCCGGGCTGCGGTTCGTCTGGTATAAGGTACCAGTGTCTGGTATAGAGAACCAGAGAGTAAGTGTCCATGTTGTGTTATTTTGGAATGATATTTTCTAAATGTAAGACCTGAAGAGCTTTGTATAACTCAAAAGCTTGTCCTTTTCACCAACACAATTTGGTCCAATTAAAATATAAAATTTAAAAAAAGCCACTTCAACCTCTCGTTGCTCTAATTTTCTAAATAATTTAGAACCCAAGATTTCAGAACAGAAGGGGGATGTGTGTAGGGGAGGAAGGAGGGTAAGTGTTTGTGAGTTAATGATATTAGAGGTGGGGAAAGGTAGATGTCTGAGTTAATAGTATTAGAGGTGATAATTGGGGAAGCTATCTTGGTAATGGGTAAGGTAGGTGGGGT